CCTTTTTTCATTTTCAATCCATTCCTAAGCCAACCAAATCCATCCCAAACCTCTCCAACACATATTTCTACACCAAACCTATTTAATACAAGTCCTAGGACCTAAAATTTTATATTTTCACTTATTAAAACCAAATTTTAACTATTATTTTCACTAACATTTTAAATTTTTACTTTTCTAATCTACCAAATTCAAACACACATCACTACATATATTCACATTTTTTTTACCACAATTATTTACTATATATCTATATACATAAATAAAAAAAATGCGGGGTGTTACAAAAAAAGAGTTACCTAAGGTTGTTGGTGGAACTCCAAAACAATCACATGAAGATGATACTGAGGGTAAAAAATTAAAAAATAGCAAGAATGTGGAACATGAAAAAAAAAAATAAGATCCAGTTGCATGTTCTAATGGAGGTAAGCAGAGTCCTATTGTGCCTCCCGTGCCATTTTCACCACATTTGCAAACACAGAAGTGGGATAAGCAGATCTCTAAATTCATGGAATTGTTTAAGAAACTCTAAATAAATATCCCTTTTGCAGATGCATTGGAGCAAATGCCTAACTATGTGAAATTTTTGAAGGAAATTTTGTCANGGAAGTAGGATAAGCAGATCTCTAAATTCATGGAATTGTTTAAGAAACTCTAAATAAATATCCCTTTCGCAGATGCATTGGAGCAAATGCCTAACTATGTGAAATTTTTGAAGGAAATTTTGTCAAAGAAGAGAAAACTAGGCGATTTTGAGACATTGGCACTTACGGAGGAGTACAGTGCTATTCTTCAAAAGAAGCTACCACCAAAGCTCAAAGATCTGAGTAGTTTTATAATTCTATGCACAATAGGCAATCAATTTTTCGGAAAAGCATTATGTGACTTGGAAGCTAGTATTAACTTGATGTCATTCTCAATTTATCAGCAATTGGATTTGAATGAAGCAAAGCCTACTAATATCACATTACAGCTTGTGGATAGATCACTCACNGAAGCTACCACCAAAGCTCAAAGATCTGAGTAGCTTTATAATTCCATGCACAATAGGCAATCAATTTTTCGGGAAAACATTATGTGACTTGGAAGCTAGTATTAACTTGATGTCATTCTCAATTTATCAGCAATTGGGTTTGAATGAAGCAAAGCCTACTAATATCACATTACAGCTTGTGGATAGATCACTCACTTATCCAAGAGGCATAGTTGAGGACGTTCTAGTTAAAGTGAATAAGTTCATTTTTCACCTGATTTCATAGTCTTAGATTGTGAGGAAGACAGAAAAATTCTTATTATTCTTGGGCGACCATTCTTAGTAACAGGAAGAACACTTATCGATGTACAGAAAGGTGAGCTAATTATGCGAGTCCAAGATCACGAGGTTAAATTCAATGTATTTTCAGCTATGAAATTTCCAAAGGAAGCGAAAGAATGTTTTCGGGTTGATTTGGTGGAAGATACAGTGAATGAGATAATCATAGGAAGCTCTATTTCAGATCCTCTTAAAAACATCAAGTTATATAAAGAGAAGGTGTTCCCACATAGGGCAATCAAAGTGGATGAAGCCAATTCGAAGAGAACTTTCAATGAGAACGGGCAGAGATTAAAGCACTATTAGGGGCGGCGACATTGATCATGAAAAGACCTCATATACCCTTGCTGATCTGGGATGAAACAGGAAGTAGTCAGGTTGAAGACTATAAAATAAGCGCTATTTGGGAGGCAACCCAAAATTTAGCTTTTAATTTTTAGGATTAATTGTTGTTGTGGTCCCCAAAGTATTCATTTTGGTCCCCAAAGTATTACATTTGTACTTATCTAGTCCCCGCCGTTGAAGCTGTCTAGATTTTCGTCTGCTCATAGTCATGTGCCATCCACATGACCCAACTGAGAGGCTATAATGTCATTTACCCTCCTCCTATTGCTAGATGGAAGTTGATTAGGAGACTCTTCGATGTCTTTATTCGCTTGTTTTGCAAACCAGAGCTTCAATTGGGAAAATCACGATTAGGGCAAAACACGATCACCATTAGGGAAAAACACAATCACCATTAGGGCAAAACAGAAGACCATTAGGGCAAAGCACAAAGATGGTACGTTCCAAACGACGAAAGACTAGAAATCAATATGCAGATGAAGACATTCCCCATTATGGTATGTACTCATTCTTATAGATTTAAGTCTAAGGTTCATGGGTAAGAATGATTTGTAAAAGTCAATATTTAATATTATATAGTTTATGTGTTTGTTCGAAACCATGTGTTTATGCATTGAAACTCTTTGTTAATAGTTAATGTGTTAGTTGAAATATTTTATAGTTAATGTGGTCCTTGAATATGATCTTATTATACAAGAGTCATAATGGAGAATCATCAGGTTGATGGTGATGTCTCAGTTGATAAAGGGAAAAGGGTAGTATCAGAGTTTGATGCATCAGACAGTAAATACGAACCTGATTGTGAATGTAGTGAGTATGATACGTTGGTTGACAGTGATTATGAAAGTGAGTATGATGACATGTTATATGATAGTTATGTTGATAATGAAGCTGAATGGACTGGTTTGAATAGTAATAGGCAGAAAGAATTAGCAACAGACAAAAGGCAATAGTTAGAACTCAGTGATATAGATGGTGATTCTGAGGGGATTTTAAGCTGCTTCAGTTCATCTGATGGAGAGAATCATGCAAGAAAATATAAAAAAATTGTAGTTTTTAGGGCAGAAAATGATGAGGAAGACCCACATTTTAAATTGGGTATGTTATTTAGTACATCTGAGGAGATCAAGAATGTCATTAGACAACATGCTATCAAACATCAGAGAAATGTGAAATTAGTACAAAATGATAAGAGAAGGGTGAGGGCACAATGTGAAGGGGGCTGCAGTTGGTTGGTTTATGCTTGTAGAGTGCATGGTGAGAAAACATACCAAATAAAGTCATACATTGGTAAGCATACATGTGGAAAAACTTATAATAATAGAAATGTCACCTCAAAGGTGATAGCATTGAAGTATATGGATGAACTAAGGGTCAACCCTTGTTGGCCTACAAAGACTTTTAAAAAGAGAGTTAGGAGAGATTTTCATGTTGATGTATCAAGGAATCAATTGTATAGAGCAAAGAAAAGGGCAATGTTGTTGATAAATGGTGATGAAATTGAACAATATGGTAGATTGTGGGATTACTGTGAGGAACTAAGGAGGACTGATTCCATAATTATCTTGGATGCACCTGGTGATGAGAAAAATGGTGAACTTATATTTAAGAGGTTTTATATATGTCTTGTAGCATGTAAGAGTGAATTTCTTCAAGGGTGCAGGAAAGTGATTGGATTAGATGGTTGCCACCTGAAAGGGGTATATAGTGGACAATTGTTGACTACTATTGGGATTGATGCCAATGATTCTATGTTTCCCATTGCCTACTATATTGTTGAGATTGAGATGAAAGAATCATGGGCATGGTTCTTAACAGTACTATGCACTGACTTAGGCATAACTGATCAAAACCATGAGCAGTGGACCTTCATCACTGACAGGTAAAAGGTATGTTTGCATGTTTATTTATTTATCAGTTTATATTAACTGTAATATGCATGTTTAATTATTGTATATTCTATGCAGGGTTTGCTTCCAGCATTGACTGAGAGAGTACCAGCATCTGAGCACAGGCATTGTGCTAGGCACATGCTAAACAATTTCATTAAACACTTTAAGGGATTAAGTATTAGGAAGAAATTTTGGAAATGTGCTAGGGCAACTTATGTTTCAGAACTTGACTATGGGATGCAAATGCTGAAAGAAGAAGATGAGAAGGCATTTGATTGGTTGGCCAATGAGCCACCAAGGTATTGGATTAGGTCACACTTTAGAGAAGAACCTAAGTGTGATATTTTGTTAAACAATCTATGTGAGAGCTTTAATGGGGCAATTATAGAGGCAAGCGATAAACCCATCATAGAAATGGTAGAATGGATTAGATGCTACTTAACTCAAAGAATGTTGAAGATGAGAGAATGGGTTAGGAATTGGCATGGTGATATATGCCCTAAGATTCAAAAGAGATTAGAGAAATGGAAAAGTGGTAGCTTTGATTGTATTGCTGAGTGGCATGGTGAGTTGAAGTTTGAGGTAAGGTGTATGAATGGAGACCAATACACAGTTGATTTGAAGGAGCAGTCTTGCTCATGTAGGAAATGAGACTTGACAGGGATCCCATGCCCACATGTCATTGCTTGCATTCAAAATAAGGGACAACAACCAGAAGATTATGTTATTGGGAAGTACAAGAAAGGGGCATTCATGCAGGCTTATGAACCAATTATAAACCCCATTAATGGACATAAGATGTGGCCTAAAAGTGGATTGACCCCACCATTGCCTCCATTGATCAGGAGACAACCTGGTAGGCCAAAAAAATTACGGAGGAACGAACTAGATAAGTTGATTAATAAAAAACAACCACACAAGTTGATGAAATGTGGAAATGTGTCAGTTAATTGTAGGAGATGTGGTCAAAATGGGCATAACAGGAGGACTTGTACTGTTACATTGCCAGAAGGAAACCAAGGTGAAGTGAGCCAAGGTGGAGAGAGCCAAGCTGCTGTTATCCAAGCTGGAGTGAGTCAACCTGCTGTGAGCCAATCTAATGTGAGCCAAGGTGGAGGGAGCCAAGCTGCTGTGAAAGGAAGGTCTTGCTTTGAACAGGTAAATAATTTCATTGAACTTTTTGCAAGTAGTAAACAATTTCATTGAAAAGCATTGGCTCATATCTTACCTTTTTCTCTATATAACTTCAAGGTTCAACCATTGGTTCACCATCTACAAGCACCCATAACTTCAAGGTTCAACCATTGGTTCATACCCGAAGGGATAAAATACCATTCAGGAGGAGCAAATGAACAAGCACCCATGCAGCTTCTCTCTTCTTTTTTTTTTTGGAGCCAATGTAAATGTGTTGCTCTCTTTTGGGTTTGTGAAGAGAGTCTAATTCTGGCTTATATGTAAATGTGTTTCTATCTTTTGGGTTTGTGATGTAAATGTACTCTTTCTTGCTCTCTTTTAGGTTTGTACTGAGAGACGAACTTGTAATTATGGACATCTTTTTGTCACAACTAACATGTAGTTACCTTAATGAAAATCAGCATTATGACAATCTGTTGTTTGATGCTAACAGGTTGTTTGTGTAGTCAACAATATTTACAGGGATTTATGGATATGCCCTAACAGTGCTGTGGCTTTTCTGCATTGGTAGTAGTCACGATTAATCAAGAATGACATGGGAGCAAACAGGGCACATTCAAACTTATAAGTTCACGACTATTGAAAAACACCTAACACTTAAAGGGCATAACTAGTTGATTTGATGCAAACAGGTTGTTACACTTCCAATTACATCAAACATAATAATTACATTTACATAAAATGCCACTTTCACAGGGCACCATCCTACACAAAAACATGGCACCCTCCACAGAAAAACAGGGCACCCTCCATAGATAAATAGGGCACTACTACTTACAGGAAATGCCACACCCAAGTGAAAATAAAAAAATGTCCAAGAACAGAACAGAGCAATCCATAATAATTTTTCCCTAGCTTTTGCCTTTCGTTGTTGGTTCTCCTGTCTTTGCTTTGATCGCAACAATCCGGGTATCACTTGCTTCGCTCTATCGCACATTGGCGGATCATACCAAGCAAAAATCCACACCCTCTAGCCTCTTACAAATGCAACATTTTGTTAAATGCATTCAAAATAGAAAACTCAGAAACAAAATCCAGAACATTTTGTTACCTCAAATCTTTCACATCCAATGAACCTTCTTCCTGGGTTGGTATCGGTCCATGAGGTCCTCATTTTGGCTATTTTCTACAATGGCATGGTGTTGCTAGCATTCTAGCCGCTATTGCCTTTCCTTCCCTTCCCCTCATTTTCTCCCTCTCTTCTCCTATGCTCTGTAACAGACAATGGGTCTTATAGATATATATGATGGCGGGAATGTTTCCCTCCAATAATAGGAGGAGGGTAAATGACATTATAGCTCCTTAGTTGGGTCATGTGGATGGCACATGACTATGAATAGACGGAAATTTGGACGGCTTCAACGGCGGGGACTAGGTAAGTGCAAATGTAATACTTTGGGGACCAATTTGATGCAATTAGAAGGTTGGAGACCAATATGAGACAAAATAAATACTTTGGGGACCACAGCTGCAATTAATCCTAATTTGTAATTCATGTTTGTGTTAATTTAGTTTTTTTAGGAGTAATTATGATATTAGATTATTAGTTCATTTTAATTAGTATGTCAATTGCTTGCAGGTCCCAAGGATTTCTCCATTCTCCAAGAGTAAAGATTACGCTTTGCAACGTAAGTTTCCTAGTCCACCTATGTTTTCCAAATACACTCCCGACATAGTGGACAATGAGGACGTTGACAAAAATGCCAACTAGCAAAGTTTCAGAGGAGTCCTCTGTCTTAATTTTTCCTAATTTATACATTGAGGACAATGTTTAGTTTAAGTTTGGGGGTGTTTTCTTGTTTGCATTTGCATTATTAGGTATGCATTTAAATAGCATATTTTGCACTTTAAATAACATGTTTTAGTACGATTTAAGTAATGGGTTGATTGAATTTGATTATGGCCAATGCTGAATGGGATTAATTGTCAATTCAAAGAAAATTGATGAACATGTTGAGCCTATTGTTTGACATACTAGTTGATTTTACACTGATTGAAATCTTTTTATGCATGAGCACATATCCATCTGTTTGGTTAGTTATTATTTAGAAAATTTATTTGGTTAAATGCTTGTGGGAGATATCATTGAAACTTTAAAAAATTTATTGAAGCATCATTCAAAGCAAATTGAGGTATTCATATAAGTTAGGGGAAAATATTGGTTATGATGGGTTAGTATATATATAAAAAAAAAATAGTTTTTGAAAATTATTTTGATTTGATCCTTCATGAGTTAGATGAAAAAAAAAATAGGAAGACAAGAAACAACAAAAGGGCATGTGGTAAGTAGAGATGGAGCGTAAAATGCACTCACTCATAAACACATGTTGAGAACGAGATGGAGTGTAAAACACATTCGTTCAAGAAAAGGCGAGATAGAGCGTAAAACACACTCACTCAATAGGAGGTGAGATGGAGAATAAAATGCACTCACCAAACAAAAAAAAAAAGAGAAAAAGAAGAAAGTGAGAGATAAAAAAAAAATCTTTGGACCTTCTAGTTATATGGTTGCCTTAATAAGCAGAGGTTGATGTGAAACGTAAATTCATAGAGTTGATATTGAGTTTCTCCTATGGAGCATTTGATTGAGTAAATGTATCTGGGTGAGGACTAGTTTGACAGTTCAGATATGTACATGTATTTAAAGGGTCATGATCGGAGGTAAAATTGAGTATGTTGAAATAATAGACCTTACACTGTTTTGAAGTTTCCTGTGTATTATTATTTGTAGTAACTTTTGGGGTCATTATTCAGATTCGTATTAATCCATTGTTTGAGTAGTTGATTTTTAGGGTAAATTTTACGGTTTTTATTCTTAGTATTTTGCTTGAGGACAAGCAAAGATTTAAGTTTGGGGGTATTTNTTTGGAACTTATTAGTAATAATTCTTCATGGGAATGATACTCTACTTATCACTTTATTACTTGTTGATCGTGCATACTTGCACGTAAATTGTTATATCAAATTCAGACAACAGTAACCCTTGGACCCATTGAGACGGACTATGCTCGGCTTACTATGAGCTTTTGAAAGGAAATAATTACACATACGATCCATGGCTTGCAACAANCAACTCTAGGCTTAAAAGGGGACCAGCGCCTAGGCACGTGAAGGGCAGAAAGTCAACGCCCCTGTGCTGATTTTAAGCGCCTAGGCACCTGTTTTAATGTGGATGCGCATTCTAACTTGTTTTGGACCCGAAATTGAACTCTAATGCTACATATATGCTAGGGTTTGAGTGGAAAATGGAGAAATACTGATTTTGGGGGTTGCTAACATTGGATNGGATTCTGGATTCCTCTTTCAAATCATTCTAGCGGGCATAAATTCTCAACCCAGGGACTACCCAATCAACTTGGGCCTACGCTTGGATTCTTTTTCTCACGTTTTCAAAACTCCTATGAGTCTGCCTCCTCATCGCACACATGATCACCGCATTCCACTGTAACCTAACGCTGCACCAGTGTTTATCCAACTGTACCACTATCCCTGTTATCAAAAAAATGAAATTGAGTGAATGGTTCAAGAGCTACTTCAGGATGAATTCATATGCCCTAGTACGAGTCCCTTCTCTTCTCCAGTTCTCTTGGTCAAGAAAACAGATGGGGAATGGAGGTTTTGCNGCTCTCATTTCAAGTTCTTATTGATCATATATGAGTTATTTGTCATATTTTGTGCTTAATATATGACTGTGTAGCCAACAATTAATTTGATAACCTAGATGAAATTGAAAAATAAATTCTAGGTTTAGATCTGAATATGATGACATGCGTCTGGTTAATTCTTCTTCGGATTGAATAGCTGAGTTTGTNGAAGCTTAAACACCATCACAATCAAAGATAAGTATCCTATACCCGTCATAGATGAATTACTAGATGAACTTCATGGAGCCAAGTTCTTTTCAAAACTCGATCTTCGGGCAGGATATCATCAGATTCGTGTCCATGTTGAGGACATCTCAAAAACTGCTTTTCGCACTCATGAGGGTCACTATGAATTTGTTGTTATGCCCTTTGGCCTCACAAATGCCCCTGCAACATTCTAAAGTTTGATGAATAACCTTTTTCGTCCCCACCTCAGAAAATTTGTTTTAGTGTTTTTTGACAACATATTAGTTTATTCCAGGTCTTAGGATAAGCATCTGTCTTACTTAAGGGTGGTACTAAAAATTTTATCTACCAACAAGTTGTTTGCCAAGGAGACAAAAATGAAGGTTTGGCATTGCCACAGTAGATTACTTGGGTCATATTATCTCCAAACAAGGAGTAGCGGTTGATCCGATGAAAATCCAGGCCGTCCTTGATTAGCCAGTACCCACAACAATCAAGGGAGTACGAAGATTTCTTGGTCTAGCAGGATACTATCAAAAATTCATTAAGCACTTTGGAATCATTGTGGCACCATTTAACCATCTCTTGAAAAAGGATGGTTTCCACTAGAATAAGGCAGCAGATACAACTTTCCAACAGTTGAAGCAGGCCTTGACACAACCGCCAGTTTTGGGTCTTCCTGATTTCACAAAACAATTTGTGATTGAGTGTGATGCAAGTGGTTTGGGCATTGGTGTTATACTCTCCCAAAACTCAAGCCCAATAGCTTATTTTAGTGAACCCTTGAAGGGAAAGACTTTGACTTTGTCAACGTATGAAAAGGAGATGTTGGCCCTAGTAAAATTGATCCAAAAGTGGCGCCCTTATTTACTAGGGAAACCCTTTACAATTCGTACGGATCAAGAGAGTCTCAAGTATTTACTTGAGCAACGTATTACCACTTCAGCTCAACTACGTTGGCTTCCGAAAATAATGGGGTATGATTATATAATTGAATACAAGCAAGGCACTAAGAATCAAGGGGCTGACTCATTATCTAGGGTGGTAGAATTTTAGTTGTTATCAATCTCTATGCGCAAGGCTGAATGGTGGAAAGATTTACAAACAGAGGTTCAAAATGATCCCTTCTATATCACGTTGACAGAGACTCCAACGCATGCCGGGTTGTTACATCGGGATGGCGTATGGTTCAAATTTGGGAAGATCTATTTGAGTCCAACTTCTCCACTAATTCTTAAAGTACTCAGTGAATGTCATTCGACCCCATCAAGGGGACATTTTGGGTTCCATAAGACTCTTTCTCGTGTGAAATGATCCATTAAGAAATTTTTGCAACAATGTGAAATTTGTCAAAAATTCAAAATTGATTGCATGAAGCCTGCAGGCCTACAACAACCCCTTCCAATCCCTAAACGTATTTGGATAGATGTGTCTATAGACTTCATCAAAGGGTTGCCATCTTCTCATGGGTATTTAACCATTCTGGTAGTTGTTGACCATCTCACAAAATATGCCCATTTTGTTGCTTTGAAGCATCCATTCACTGCCGCGTTGGTTGCATAAGAGTTTGTATCCAATGTCGTTTGTTTACACCGTATCCCTAAATCTATCATTAGTGACCATGATAAAGTTTTCATCAGCTCTTTTTGGCATGCTCTCTTCCAGCTACAGGGAACTAATC